CCTGGAGCTCTAGAGCCGCTCGGAGCTCTCTCGGAGGAGCTCTCTCGGAGATGCCTCTGCCATGTCCCTGCCGTGTCCCCACAAGATCTCTGCAAATCTCCGCGATGTCTCGGAGGTGTCTCGGAGGTGTCTCGGAGGTGTCTCGGGGGTGTCTCGGAGGCGTCTCGGAGGTGTCTCGGAGGCGTCTGCACCCGCGCTGCTGTCGGCTGCGGGAAGCTCGCTCGCTGTCCCACTCTCCCAACTTGGTGCGTCGCCGCCGCCGCCGCCGTGCAGCTGCGCAGGCGAGACCTAGAAAGTTCCTAGAAGGGTTCCCAGAAGCGCCCCCCCCCCCCCCCCCCCACAGCTGCGCAGGAGAGGTGGTCTGCGGCGCCGGCGCTAGCGGGGAGGCCGACGCCCCGCCTAGCCCGCCGCCGCCTCCCGAGCCGCCGCCGCCTATTCTACGTGGAGCAGGTGGGACCACGGCACGGGGAGACGCAAGTGCAAAGGCAGGCAATGCAAAGGCAAGTGCGGAGGAGGCAAGTGTGGCATAGGTGGAGGTACTAAATGCGTACCCAAGCCGCCGCCGCCGAGTCCGAGGGAGTCGAGGGCGCCGAGTCCAGCGAGTGGAGGAGCTGGCGCCGCCGCGGCGGGCGCCGGCGGGGCGCCAAACGGAGACGGCGACGCGGCGGGCGCTCCGAACGGCGACGCCGACCCCGCCGGCGGCGGCACGGTGCCAAAGGGCGACGGCGACGCGCCAAAGGGAGTGGCGGCGGGCACGGCGGGTGCCGGCGCGCCGAAGGGGCTGGGCGGTGTGGCCAGGCCCGGGGAGGCGGCGCCAAAGGCGGCCGCCTTGGCGGCGAAGGGGGAGGCGGCGGCGCCGAACGGCGTGGCAGCGCCGCCGAACGGTGCCGCCGCGGGAGGAGCTCCAAAGACGGCCGGTGCCGCGGCCGCCTGCTGCAGGAGTGAGACGACAGCGGCGTGGCCCTTCTCCTGTGCCACGACGAGCGCGGTCTTGCCCTTGCGTGTGGTCAGCCCGGGGTTCGCTCGCAGCTCAATCAGCGCCTGCACCGCCTCGGTGCGGCCAGCCTGCGCGGCGTACACGAGCGCTGTCGCGCCGACCGTCGGGTTCTGTTCGTTGACGTTCGCGCCGCCCTGGACGAGCCGCTTGATCGAGGCGACGTCGCCGGCCTTGGCGGCGGCGAGGAGCTCAGACATTTTTTTGTTATATACACACACAAGGCTGCAGACCTTGCGGGGGCGGGCGGCGCGGTTGCGCCACGGGCGAGAAATTTGTTTTTAGGTTCGTTGTTAATTAATAATACAGACGGACGGACACTTGCTGTAGCCACATGACACGCACACACGCACACCGCACCGCACCCCCCCCCCCCCA